GTCAGAAAGTGAAGGGGTCAGTCACCCATCGTTATGATTCCCCTGGTTGAGACACATTCCAAACAACAAATGTTTACACAACTTCACAGCAATGGTGTGCACCATACGCATGCTGGTACTAAAGGACAGCGAACGCGTAGCATGCGCTGGTCTTGAAGCGAACGTTCGCTACAGTGTCATTCGGCTCAAGCAGCCCGCGCGCTTTTCTTTTGACCGCCTAAAGCGTTTGATCGGTTTTCTGGTTCTTTTACGGCTAGTTTGTTATTTTTGAAAGTATATGTTGTTTTAAAATGAGCATAGTTACGAAATTTTGCTCAGATTTTCGTGATTCATGCATATTGTGAGCTCTGGAACGGAGTTTTTTTTAATGCAGTGCAATTGCTTTCGTTTCTTGAAGTTCTAGGATTGATCCTTCATTTGAAGCAATGGATTTCTGTCGTTTCGGATTAGAATGCACCTTTCTTGCTAATCGTCTAGCTTTGATATGTTTCGCGTCTCTCGAAATCTTCGGTTCTCAACTAACTGCATGGAAACTACGAATTTTGATTTCATTTTGTGCTTGTTTCAGGACCTGGGAAGCCAACATGGCTGAGCAAGTGGAGAGGGCATTTCTGAAGCAACCTACAATCAACCTCAACAATAAGGCTCGTATATTGGCCGGTAACAAGAAAGTTCCCCGATATGTTCGTAACATCGGACTCGGTTTCAAGACACCTCTTGAGGTACGTCATTTAGAGCTTCGAAAAAGTGTGTCCTATTATTACTTTTCATGTGATGGATCAATCATTTTTAATTTAGGCTAGTCAGGGCACCTACATCGACAAAAAATGCCCGTGGACTGGCAACTGTGCGATCCGTGGAAACATCTTAACTGGTGTAGTTTTGAAGAACAAGATGACTAGAACTATCATTGTACGTCGTGATTATCTTCACTTCGTCAAGAAGTACCGCCGTTTCGAGAAGCGACACAAGAACGTTCCAGCTCATTGCTCACCAGCATTCCGGTCAGTGAGAATTATCGCGTATTTATGTTTTTTTTTTTTTTCGAAATTAATTTTCTAGAGGTTTTCAATATGCTGGATTGGATTTTGCATCATCTAAGTTTTTTTTTCGCTTTTATTCTATACCATTGTCCTTGTTGACCTGATGCGCTTTCAGTTGCTTTTGACTTACTTTTCGATAATTTTGCACCTCTTTTAATCTTCTGCGGTGCTCAAATGGAGAAGGGGCGGGGGGGGTAGAGAATTTAATTTTTTCAGTCATAATGTTCGGCTGATTTCCTTTCACAATATCGAAGAGATTTCTGAGCATCAGTTTCATTATGTTTATCTAGACCCTTGTTGTGATTTTAAAGATTAGCTTCATCATAGTTATGAAGACGAAGAATGGTTTTTTACACTGTTGAAACCATAGCTCTTGCTAACTACTCGACAGCCGGTCAACTTTCCCAGGGTTGATACCCAGGGCCATGTTTGTGACCGAGGGTTTAACTCAGTGGTAGCAAAGTTTGTCTCAAAGGTTTACCTCTCTTGATGTTCAGCGGAAAATTAAATCCTGGCCACAGTAGCGCTCAGGCAGTGGTCCCCATTTCATGTACCACACATCGAATAAATTTTGAGTGTGATGTTGATATTTGCGATATTGTTCAGACTGTACAGACCATATGAGGGACGAGAAATTCTTTAATTTCTCTCTTAGGGTACGTGCGTGAAGGAAACTAAATCTTTGAAAGTCACCCTCCACCACACCCCCCCCTTTTTTTGAATCACTGCTAGAAGATTCTATGAATGATACGAGGTCAGATAAACTCTCTTACTATTTCGCATTTTCGTCAGTTCAAGCATCTTGATGTGAAATTGATAATGGGGTGTTTTTGAGGGCGTTGTTGGTGTTGAAATTGTTAAATTCGGAAAATGCAGTTCTAACTTTGTATTCAAATAGTTGGTAACTCGATTTCAATCAGGATTTGATAGTTTAGTGAAAAAGTTTCCCTATTCCCAATAGTTTCTGAGTTCAGAATGCAGAAAATCTTTCCCATCTTCAAACGCGATTTTTACACCAAAAGTAAAAGTAACAAAAGTTCGGCACTATTTACCCTTTACTGCCCAGTCATCCGAAATCAGGCCAGCTTTTGACCGACTTTTTTCTCCGTGGGCAGAATTGGCTAAAAAGTTGTCTCCTGGGGTAGTTTGACCTCCTGAACACAAATATTCCATCGGCTCATTCCGAAAGCGCCTGACGCAGGCTAGCCAATTTTAAAAGAGATAAAAGTCGATTGAAAACTCGCCTGATTCCGGATGATTGGGGCAGTAAAGGGTGCCAAAAAGTTCCTTTTGTACGTAAAGTAATATCCAGTGTTCCTGCACTGGTCGTAAACTCAGGCATGGAAAGCTTGAAACGGGAAGTTCCTAGGAAAGTTAACAACGGAAATGAAGGGCACTGCCCCCTCCCTTGCTACAGCGACCGAAAACGATTCTAACACGCTAGAGATCCTTAACGCCCGACGTTCCCTGACTGACACCTGGTCGTATGTTACCATCCTTATTTGTTTGATTCAAATCGATGACGAAAATGATCACTCCCCTTCCCAACCCCACATATTTCAGCAATCTTCCTCACCGAGCTTACTGCTACATTTGCTTTTTCATCTTACATTTTTTCGTCAGTACTGGCCTTATTACTTATTCCCGCTTTCTTTTTTGTGATTTCGTTAGATGCTTTGTGAACACACTCCACAGAACTTACTACTGTCCGAAAAGCCCTTCCTACTGTTACGTAGAGCACGAAAGTCATGCGAATGAGATCTTGTCTCGTTAAATTAAACATAGCTGGAAGCTATGATGGTTCCTTTTTTCACTTGATGCTTCGCAGTTTTACCTTGCCCGAAGACGTTTGACTCCACCTCTGAGACAATTATTAGCGGTTATGCCAAAATAGCGATGAAGTCCGTGCTTTAGAAGTTGTATTTTCGAAGCTGATGTACGAAATATTGTTTTCTTTTCTGGGACTGAATCATTCACTTCTTTGGCGTCTTTTAGGCTGTGTTCATGCTTTTCGTCGGCGCTCTGAGCGTTTTTAGCGAAAAGGAAAGTGAAGGTATTGATTCAGCGTTTAGGAGAAAGGCCGGTGTTCTAAGCGTTCTGGGAGAAACGTTGGCGTTTCGATCGAAAAGGGACCTAACTTTTGAGAGAAACGCTCACGCCCTCCCCTCAGAAAACGCTCGTAACGCCTCCGAAAAGTATGAACACAGAGCAACTTTACGATTTCTTTCATCACACGCTGTGAGCTGTAAGTAATTGTTGAATTCTTTAGCGTGAAGTCTTCGCTATCTTACACAACTAGTTGAGAAAATTTTAAGGAGTAGTTATGGGAAATACTGTGTTGTGTAGTCCAATACAACGTATACGTTTTGAACTTTTACTTTTAGGTTCTTAAATCAACTTTTTCTTTTTTAAGCTTCAAATCAACTTTTCACAAACATCCATGCGTAGTTGTTTTCTGCTGAATTTCAAAGATTGTGTTTCAGAGACATCGCCCCTGGAGATTTGGTTACGATCGGAGAATGCCGTCCATTGTCAAAGACTGTCCGATTCAATGTGTTGAAAGTGAACAAGGCCGGCTCAACGAAGAAAGGATTTGCCAAATTCTAAATGTACCACCACCCGTCGTTGTTTGTTGTTAAAGAACTTCCTCCATGACTCGTAATTTTTTGGATTGTTGAGTCTTGAGAATGAAGTATATTATGATGTTGCCGAGATACTCACTATCAGTACAATTCGCTATATGCTGTCGACATGATAT